GAGAACCAGGAGAAGATCTAAAGAACTCTCAAATACATTTAATATAAAAAATAAAAAAGCCCTGGCCAGATGGCTAAGTTGGTTGGAGCATCATCCCCTACAACAAAAGGTTGCTGGTTCAATCTCTGGTCAGGGCACACTCCTAGTTGCAGGCTTGATCTCTGGTTAGGGGACACACCTAGGTTGTGGGTTTGATCCCTGGTCAGGGCATATAGGAGAAAACCAATTGATGTTTCTCTCTCACATGGATCTCTCTCTCTCTCTCTCTCTCCTGTTCTCTCTCTCTCTCTAAAAATCAATAAATATATCCTCAGGTAAGAATAAAAAAATAAATAATTTTAAAAATAAAATAGAATAAAGGGCAAAATAATGTCCCTATTGGCAATAACACTCACATCAGAAAGATGTGTTCACAGAATAAATGAAAATAGCAGCCCAACACTTAATAATAAGATAAAAGAAACTAAGAAAATTATAGAACTATAAGAGTCAGAGATGGAATAAATTAGAAATTGATTAAAACAGGAAAATTGAAAAAGGAATGTTTCAGAAATGAAGGGTAAGTTAGAAAGGATACAAAATTAAATACAAGCAACAGCTAATGCCTGAAGGAAAATATAAGATTGAGTGTATGAAAAGTTTAAATCAAAAGTCATTTAAAATACCCAAGAAAAAGTAATAGTTATAAAGATGGACAAAAAGCATATAACCTTCATGCAACAGAAATCTTTGAAAATGAAAACTAAAGTAATGGAGAAGAAAATACTAAAAACAATAATGACATAAAAAGTTTAATGATATAAAATATGTGAAATTATACAATTAAAAAACACATTGTGTAAATAAGAATATCAGCCTAAAATGGCCAAGATTGAGTAAGTTCTAGTAAAAATGTTAGATTTTAAGTTTTAAAAAAAAAAAGAATTCCTTGGACATTAAAGCAAAGACACCAAGTCATTTAGAAGACAAAGAAAATCAGATTTTTTTTAATTGTTTATTTATTTATTTTTAGACAGAGGGGGAAGGAGGGAGAAAAAAAGGGAGAGAAAAATCAATGTGTGGTTGCCTCTCACGTGCCCCCGACTGGTGACCTTGCCCGCAACCCAGGCATGTACCCTGACTGGGAATAGAACTGGCAACCGTTTGGTTCTCAGGCCCACATTCAATCCACTGAGCCACACCAACCAGGGCAGAAAATCAGATTTTTATCATACTTCATAAAGATGCTTTATGATAAAGACAATGGAAAGGTATAATTACGATGCTCATACAGAATTTTTTGAACCAAGAATCCATTTTCATCTAACCAACATAAATCTGTAGATTGTTAGCCACAGAAGAATTTTATTCAAATGCAAGAACTTGGGAATACTATATCCAGGAACCCTTCCAGGGAAATCTATTGGAGGATTAGTTTCAGAGATCCCAAATGATTTCCAAGATATCAACGTAAGGCTTCATGGTGGGCATTAAATATATATTTACTTATGGAGAAAGAATAGATCACAGTTTTGAGAGAGACTATAAAAAATAATTATATATAAATGGGAGAGTGTTGTCCTAACATTTATTAACTGGGAGTTTAAACATATCAATTCAAAGTAGATACTGAAAGACAGAAGGTAAAAGAAAGAAGAAACTAATATCAATATTGACCAGAATAGAGAACCATTAGACAACAGTCAAAATATTAAGGTTAATAAATAAAAGACAAAAGTATTTTATAATGATACTAATATAAACGTAGTCGTCAAGAGGGAGGGAGAAAGAAAACCATAATAAATGCCAATTATTTTGTCTCTAGCAAATAGAGGATATGTGAAGCTATCGGGATGGTTTTCTAGGGGAAAAAATCCCCATTCAACTAAGTAAAGAAACCTAAAAATTATTAACAGAATCCTGTAAAAGGGACTGAGGAAAAGAAGCCAAAAATACAAAAAGAAGGATCAGGAAAATAAGATGTTATAAAATTCACAGAATGAGATATTTTTCTAGAAGAAAGTATTCGACAAAAAAGTCCAGCAACAAATCAGGGCAAATGCTGATAAACGTCTTGTGGACTGTGCACAGAGAGGCCACTAGGGCCTTCCCTGAGAGCGGAGCCTACGAAAGGTTATGGTAGAAGTCAGATTGCAATGGAAGGGAGAATGAGAAGGAAAGTCACTCTAAGGGAGTTTGGCTGCAGGGTAAGCTTGGGTTAAGAGAAAATGATTTGTTTGTTTGCTTTGCTTGAATTAATGGAAGGAACTGGAATATGTTGTAATGTTGATGAGAGTAGGGGTAGAGGAGGGAGGAGAACCAGAGATCAGGAGAGAAAACAGTCTTAATAGGAGGATGGCAACAGATGCAAGATTCTTTAAAGATCTGGTGCCAGGAAGATAGGGACGTCCCTGCAGGGGAGGGTATGCTTCTGCTCTGCAGCAGAAGGCAAGGCTGTATCTAACAGTGGAGGTGTTATACTTCCCAAAGATGGAAGGGTTATACCAGTGGTTCTTAACTGAAGGGTTATTGTGCCCCGTCTGGGCAACACTTAACAAGATCTAGAAACACTTCCGTTGCTACAGCTAGGGGATGGGAGTGATACGGGTATCCAGTGGGCAGAGACAAGGATGCTCTGGAACGGTGTACAAAGCACAGGACAGGGCCTCATGACAGAGAATCACCTAACCCAGGTGCCAAGAGTGCCAAGGTTAACAATCTGTGGGTTAGCATTCAAGGAGGTTTAAAATATTCACTGAGGAAAATGGGTAGCTGACTACAGAATCATGGTCACTTTAAAACAGTCAGTGCCCACTAAGGAATGGAAACCAGTGTTTTTTAACGGCAACAATCTGCCCTATTGTATATTTTCCCCTACAGTATTAAGATTAAGTAAAAGCTTAAAGAACTGAAAGGTCTGACTGATACATGGATGGGGTGTTACTAAGTGGATGCATTCTAAAGACAAGAGAATTGAAGACATTGGTAAAATTTCCATGATTCACCCTGGCCGGTGTGGCTCAGTTGGTTGGAACGTCGTCCTGTAACCAAAAGGTTGCAGGTTTGATCCTCATTCTGGGCACATCCAATCCCTAGTCTGGGTGCATGCAGGAGGCAACTGACCAATGCTTCTCTCTTGCACTGATGTTGTACTTTCTCCCTTCTCTTTCTCTCTAAAAACAATGAAAAAATGTCTTTGGGTGAGGATAAAAAAATAAATTAAATAAAATCCATGAACCACTGAAGTGAGTGTATCATGGAATCTAAGCTAGGTAAGGAACAGTATTGATATCAAGGAAAGGAAAAAGATGGGAAGCTTGGAGTGCCTTATAAGTAAAATATGTGCAGAAGGGGTAATTTAGTAAAAGATATGAAATGACAAACTATGATGGTCAGACATTGAAAAATAGCCTTAGTAATTATTTTTCAGTACAGTTAAGATGATGACAAAATCCAGGCTGGGCCCAATGGGTAGCACATGAAGTGCAATGAAAATAAAGGTCACTGGATTAAAAAGGATTAGGACCTCACAGGCCAGCGTGATGAATGAATCAGAGAAGGCCAGCAATGTACCAGTGTGCACCCCTAAATCCCAAGTCATTTTGTCACTAAACATACACAGGAGCAGTTTTAAAAAAAAAAAGTGGGGGTATAGTATAGTAATTGTAACCAACGGGCTATCTGCAAGGTCTAATACTAAAAAGACCAATCAAGGTTTTGTTAGTCACACAAATCTACCAACTAGTTGCTCAACAGTCACAGAAAAACCCAGCTCTCTAAATCTAGGGTTGGTTGACAGCCAGAATCCCAATAATATTCTTTTAGGGCCCCATCTTACTGGGTTTTGCATTGCCTGGATAGAGAATGAATGAGATTATTCACGAGGAAAAGAACATTTCTAAGGCAAAAGGGGTGCTTTAGCAGGCCAGGCAGTGACAAGTTACCAGCAAGTTAAATATCCTGCAAGGGAGAGCAGTAAAATTGGAGCACAGAACTTAGTTACAGATTCTCAACAGGCAGACTTGACTCAGAAAGCAGGGAACAGGTATTAAAATTCCCAACAACGGAGGGGATACCCAGAAAGTCACCAGTTAAAAGCAACATAGGAGGGTGTAGTATAACCTTTATGCCTAAAAGGCAGCTAAGATGGCTATTATCTTCTACTCAGATTCAGGTTGTTGCTCTAAATGTTACGAGTAGAATTTGGCACTGCCTACCATCAATCACCTGAGGGAGCTTCTTATAAGCTTAGATTCCAGAACTAATCCTAGACTATGCTTCATTAAATTTTTACATATTCCAGGAATCTACATGTCTAACAGTTCATGTATCTAATACAGGACTGGAGTTTGGGAACTAATAATATCTACTACTTAATATTGTCACACCTCTGTCTCAACTTAGCCTCAAAAGTTTAATCTTATAATTCATATTCGCTGGAAACTTACTACAAGCCAGAGACATTTCTGAGTTTAAATATATTTATTTTATTCAGCACTTCCAACAAATTTACCATGCAAATGTTATTAACATTTTCAATCTGAGATGAGGGAATCAGGCAATAAAGCTGACATCTGAACACAGTCTGATAAGAGAGCCTGTCTTCTTTTCAGCTGTGCCATCATGATAAAATTAGCTAAACAAAATGAACTTTTGCCTTCTGCTTTTAACTGCAATTTTAGTATGTATATTGTTAAAAAGTCATCACACATTTATCATAAGCTCTGATTGGTGGTGATACATTTTAATGAAAACAGGGAAATTAAAACTTAATACAATCAATTTGATAAACAAAACATTTCAAACACAATGCTGTCATAAAACTCTATAGTGTAAGTCCTAACTGGTAAAAGCTGCAAATAATTCCTATTGGCCTCCTCACACATTACTACTTCTTCCACTTCCTTAGACCTAATATTAGGTATGAGTTTGACTAGGAAGTTGATCAGCTCAACAAATAAGGCAGAGAGCAAAGAACATATGTTCACCTCTTTAATTAAACTCAATATTTGAATACTTACATTTAATTCAGTTTTTAGCATTTCTTCAAGACGGAGACCTACATGTTCTTCATCTTGTTTGGTGTCCATAACTATGCAAATCTGTTGTGAAATTCTTTCTGAGACAAAAAAATGTTAAAAAAGAAGTAAGTTTCATACATAATATGGAACAAAGCCCTAGTATACTGAAACCTATGCTTACCCTCTGTTCATAGCTGTTGAACGAAGAGAGGAAGGTTTTAGCTTTAGGCCAAGTGGACTGACTTGGACTGCACACTGAGATGTCCTTGACTCCCTTAACCGCCAAGTCAATGAATCTATTTTACTATTTGTGGGTAGCTAACTACATGCATAAGCAACAGACACAAGAGATTATAGGATACATCTGAAGAGAATAACTGGAGGTGAGAGCCATTTGGCTCACCAACTCAATCCTTCCAAGTTTACAGGGAGTCTTACAGAATCTGATAAAACCATCTCCCAGGCAGATTTTAGGCTCTGTCTCCTGTGTGCGGCTCACTGTGCCACCTGGTGTCCTGATTAAGTACAGCATTTTCCTTGGCTTTCCTCTAGATTCAGCCAATTTAATACAATTAAGTTCCTGCCCACTTAACTATTACCACAACAAGTGAAAATGCTAAATGGATTTTCCTCAAATTTGAAAGGCTTACTTGACTTGGTTTCAAACATAAGCTATATGACATAGTTATACCCACTTTTGGGAACCCTGGATGCACTCTCCCCAAAGCTATACAGTCCTCCTCTGCAGTGGACAGATCTGAAATACTAACAAATGGCTAAATTGCTGCCAGTCAAGGAGACATCGCATGGTATTAGGTCATGGATAAAGGGGAAAAGTGTTATTTTAAATAGGAATCCCAAGAGAAAAGCCACTTCTTATATGGGCAACTCTATATAGCGTGCCTTAAAAAAAACATTGATCTTGCAATAGTTAATAACTCTTCCAAGCAAAGCTGAGGAGGACAGACCATTTAAAATAATAACATCACCAGTTAATAATACTCTTATTGCTAACTACCTCCCATCTATCAAGAAAATTATACAGGGATGAGCAAAAGTAGGTTTACATAATACAAATAAATAATACAATAATTAAAAAATAACAATACAAGAACAGCCTGTGTTTTGCATACTCACAACTGTAAACTTCCTTTTGCCTACCTCTGTAATTCTTGTGTCTAGGACTCTGTTCATTCATTTGCAAGCTTTCTACCAATTTTTAAATGTCTACAATTCTAAGTTACATGATTCTAATAAAATTAAAACATAATTTTGAACACAAATGGTCCAGATAGTAAGTGCTGTGGAACACCATTTTTTTAGAAATATAAACTGATTGACAATATCAGATAAGTTTTTGTAAGAAAAATGATCTAGGAGCTCATTCTTGAAAGGTAATAGGTTTTGCTTAGGAACAGAGGCAGGGGCTTTGGAAGTCATTGAGAGGAGTAAGATTAAAAGTGGTTTTAATGTACTGAGATAGGAACACTATGGGCATAAGCTTAGTGTGACAAGAGACAAGATAAGTACTCAAAAGCCATGGGGTGATTTAGTATCAAACTATACAGTGGGACACTCAGTGAAACCAGGTCATGGAGGTAACATGCTGTCTTATACTATGTTGTCCCAAAAGTTTTAGATCATAAGATAACTGTCACACAAGCAATGGCTTAAAAACAAAGTTAATTCAAACTTGTGTACTGTAAAATTACTGAATGTTTAGAGAAATTTGGGCTTTGTCATGTCCTAGTAAAAAATTTTGACAGACTTTCAAATGCGTCTTATACACACACACAAAATTATTAATTTTTTATTATATGGGAATAGTAAAAAAAAAAAAAACTCCACATTAAGGGATTTAAAAATTTTTCTCATTACATGGGAATAGTAAAAGACCCTACATTATAAGGTTTCAGTGAGGAATAAATGAGCAGTTATGGAGAGTGCAAGTCAATCCCAATAAATCACAGAGTCATCCTTTTGTCGTTACGGTTGTCTACATTCAATAAGAATATAAAACAAGATTACTTTTGTCTACTCAAAACATAACTCATTTCTAACTTCAAACTGTCCCTAGTGGTCTTCATACTTCAGAGTTGGGTAAATAATCTCTATCAATTTTGTCCCACCAAGGCCTCTTTTCAAATTTCAAAGTTTTGCCAAATATGCAGTAGTTATGTGTAACATTGGAATATACATCTTGAGTAATAAACAATTCTATGTTTTCATCCCTGAATTCCTTTGATACTAAAATGGATACCTTCTACTTAGGACCATTCATCTGTATCTTTGTTTGTCCAGTACATCTAGGTTAAAGTATCCTGTGTGATTTCTGCTAATAATCCCACGAACATACACTGCCAATTTTAAATGAGAATGTTAATGTACTTAAGATCTTCATCAAAAAGAAAAGAAAAGAAAAGAAAAGAAAAGAAAAGAAAAGAATAGAAAACAGCAGTAATGACTCTACTTGTGCCAGGCCTCTGGAAGGCCAAAATGGAAAAGAGTGTCGCTTTTAGAACAGGGTTCAAATAAACTGAACCTCTCTAATCCCAGTTATTCTAGTATCACCCAACTCATAGAGATAGAAAATATATATACATAACATTAAAATTCTTTTTTCATGAAGCACAAAACTCTTTCCAAACATAATATGATTAATCTTCATTGTTTCTCAAAGCAAAGTCTTTAACCACTTCCTTGAGGTTAATGATGAAATCAAAACAAAAATAGGAGGCTTTAGAATTAATCTGCTGTTCTATTAATATGGCATGTCTTTGAAATTTTTTTCAGGTTAAAATAAAACAAAAGCACTGGGAAAGCTACAAAATCATGTTACTTCCCAGAATCGTGAAAACTCCAAGCAAGAATCTAGCCTTTGTTCTCTCCCCTGAAAAGGCCTAAGGATAAATTAGAAAAATATTGGAATTAACATTAAATCATACCTTACCTGTCAACTTGATGACTAATACTAATCTCTGAGATTTAGTTTTCACACTACCTTCTAGCTTTTTAAAATCTTCCTAAAAGGAAACTTGTGGTACGTGATGAAATATTTTGATAATTAAACCATTAGAATATATCCCCCTCAAAATTATTTTTAACGTGTACCCTCTGATGTAAACCGAATAACTCTTCATTTGTATACAGCTTCTGTCACATAGTTCAATGTGACTTAACAGAGAGAAAATTCAAACTGGAACATGACTTGAAGTCTACACGTTGGTATTAAAAGCTGTGGGCATTAATTAATAAGCCCTGTCAATACTTTGTCCCCATGCATGAGAATTTTTAAATGGTCAAGGTATCACATACAATTAACAGAGCAGTAGTTACCCCCTTATCTGCTGGATACATGTTCCAAGACCTCCAGTGGATGCCTTAAACCACAGATATACCAAACCCTATATATACTGTTTCTTCCTGTATATACACATCTATGATAAAGTTTCATTTATGAATTAGGCATACTAAGAGAGTAACAGCAAGAACAGTAAAAAAGAACAACTATAACAAAATACTGTAATAAAAGTTATGTGAATGTTTTCTGCTTTCTTCTGTCTCCATAGTTTCTGATGAGAAATCTACAGTCATTCAAATTATTGTTCTCCTACAAAAAATGCATCATTTCTGACTACTTTCAAAATTTTTGTCTTCATTTTTCAACAGTTTATGAAGTGACTGGTGTGGATTTCTTTGGGGTTATCATGTTGGAGTCACCTGAGCTTCTTAAGTCTGTAGATTTATGTCTTTAACCAAATTTGGGGCTTTTTTTAATCTAACATTTCTTAAAATATTTTTTTCTATACAGCATTTTCTCCTCTCCTTCCAGGGTTGAGATGAATTGTTGCTTTCCCACACATGCTGAGTACTATTTATTTTTCCCCCAATCACTTTTTGTACTATTTATATTCCCCCCAAACCCTTTTCATTCTGTAGTTCAGACTGAAAAAACTCTGATGATCTCATTAACTTCACTGGCACTTTCTCTGTCATCAATATTCTGTTCTTTATTTTGGTTATTGTAATTTTTTTCAGTTATAAATTTCCATGTGACTCTTCTTCTGTGCCTTTGCTGAGATTTCCTGTCTTTCATTTCAAAAGTATTCCCATGATTCTCTAACCACTGTTCTATGCACCTGTAACTAGTATTAAGTAATACCAAATGTAAAGTGTAATTGAAAAAAATTTAATTTTTAAAAAACCAGCTCCTCTTATTTGTTGTAGCACTTTTATAATTGGTACTTTAAAGTATTTATCAGATAATTCCAACACCTTTGTCCTCCCAGCATGGGTATCCATTGATTGTTTTTCCCATGTGAGTTTAGGTTTTCCTGGTTCTTTGTATGCCAAGTGATACTGGATTATATCCTGTATATTTGGGTAATATCCTCTCTTACCACAATCTCTCCTACAAATCTCATTTCTTTAATGCAGCCCTTTTTGGCACTCCACAATGAGTTTTCATTAAGTGTTTAATTCTAGTGGCATTTTAACTAAAGTCTTTCATAAAAGTTTATGAATGAGGCCAAAATTTAATTTGTAATATAGTCATCTTTCAATAATTCCTCTTGGTATACATGAATGACACTGTCTTCATTCAAAGGTTAAAAAATAGATGCTGTTTGGGGTCTTTTCATTTAAATTCACAAAACAGTAATATGTACAATATCTAATTTGCACAGGCCTCCTCTTTTCATATGAGAGACGCACTGACACATTAAAGAGAAAAAATACCTAGACATATGCCTCCGTTAAAGAATCATCAGTAGAGATTCATGAATGTTCATAATGGTGTTTGTATTTCACAAGGAATTTTCAAATAGCATGAAAGAGAGACAAACCTAAATACTACGTTAGTTCCACAAGCAAGTGAGGAAAATAATCCAGAAGTCACCCTTCAGTTTTCTTGAAAACGTTTAACACCATGGCTTCCATAAGGCCTCATTTATCCACTATACTGACCTCCTGAGCCAAAAGTTTAGTGTTTTGGGGTAAATAAGAAACAACTCTATCAAATCCAACTATAATCCTTTCCAAAAGATGTTTCAAGCCTTACTCCATTCAAAGTAAGGGCAGTTATCTTCTATTCTCCTGC